GTCATTATTTTAAGATTGACCATGGTCCATGAAAAGCTCTTGGTATGCATATGTACATAGGTTAGCCAATAAGAATTGCATGTATGTGTGCCTGGCGAGGAGAAGCGCGGGGGGGGGGGGGGGGTATGGGGTTATACTTGGCGTGTCGATTATTGCATTTTTATGCACATGCAGAAACTATCCATGTTATTATTGAAGAATGAGAGCATTTTAATTTTTTAATTTTCTGGTCTGCGGTGCACACGATTTGTAAAACAGTATGAAATCATAATTGTCAAGAAACCCCTTGCCGCTATATTTACACCTGCCAGTAAAAAACATTCTTTTCTAAATTTCATGCATGTGCCTATCAAATAATCAAAAGAAAACTGATACTGATCAACGAAATGACCTTTCTTCCCCACCACACACACGTGTGCACGCATGTTTCTAATTTACAACACCTTTGAAATAAATATTAACTGACTTTAAAGGGCTAATGAAATCTATGATTTAGTTTCCCTTTTGTTTTATTTTCTTTCCGTTTACAGAATTTTCTTCATCCATTACTCAATAGAAAATAATTCTCAACCTGTCTGACCAAAAATAAATTGTTTGATTACATTTTGCGTTGTTGCATTTTGCCTAATCTTGACGCAATATGTAACAACACAAAATGTAATAATCCAAATATCGTGTTATTACATTTTGCCATACTATATTTTTCTTTGATCTCTCCTTTGATGTTTTATCCTAAAAAGTATATTCTTGCACAATAAGTTTATTAAATTTTGCGTTAATATCGATGCCAAATATACTGTATATTGGAAAATTTTCGCCCCCGTTTTATTTTCGCCCATTTCGCCTTCGTCGGAGGTGTGCGAATTTAAAATGGAGTGAATTCAACTTAAATAGTATAATATCTTAAACAAAAATCTTTCTGGGCGAATTTAAAATGGGGCAAACTTATTTCTTAATGTGAAAGGGCGAAAATAACCCTGTATACAGTACTCGTCTTGAGCGAAAAAATGCAATAATCCCGGTTTACTGGTATTACATTTTTCGTTTTTATTACAATTTGCATAGTAACATATATGACTTCTTTTTTCAAAAAATCTGTTATCTCTGTTGTAGCAGATACAACTGTGATTTACTACAGGTAGTTTTCATTAAATTCGCTCAACGTACTTTTAAACGCACAATGCCAAATTTCAGTTTTTGAAATTCCGATTACTAGAACTTAATTTTAGAAGTATGTTCCAAATAATGCGCATTTTCACTTTCGATTTAGTAAACTGGAATTTTATTCAAATAAAAATACGCATAAAATCAGCTTTCAAGAACTTTTATGAATAGCAGAAGTTGCGAAATTAAAACAGCGTCATATTTGATTTGTTTTACAATTTCAATATTCAAAAAAGTGTAAACGAAATGTATGACTTTTTGAAATAAGATTTCAAAAGGTGAAACCAAACATACAACTTTTTATTTCAATTGTTCACAAGATCGAAAGATGAAAAAGAGTTGAAAAATCGAACTTCTTCAGAAATGATAATGTTTCATATTTTACAGCATCGCAACATTATTGTGTATGAACAAACGTTTCACTTCAATATAAATAGCAGAGGAGAATCATGTAAAACAATACATTTGAGAATTGTAAAATAGATGTGGATACTTCAAGGAACTCATATTTAACGCAAATTTAAAATAAAAAATCAGGGTTCACCAATGAAATATTAAAGCCATAGCTCGGAGCCTCCACCCACTCGAAAGTTATAAGCAAGGTTCAAGTTTTGCGGACAAACAGACAAACAGACGGATAGTCGACGGAAACTTCGTTTGTGGTGGCATAAAAATCCTTAAAGCAAATTATGTATAGTGTACAGACGACTTTCTACAATTTTCGAAATCGTAAGAACCATTTTCTTTATATCGTACAAACGATTTTTTTTAATCCGTTCAAACAATTTTGAAAGTCGTACAAACGAATTTTTGATTTTATAATTGTCAAGCCGCATATTATAATTGTCAAGCAGCATATTAAATTTTGGTCTTTTTATGCCCCCGTAATCGAAGATTCAGGGGTATAAAGTTTTTGTCGTGTCCGTCCGTCTGCATGTCTGTTATCTGACTGTCTGTTTTTGTGTGCAAAAAGTTTAATCTTCCACTTAACTTTTGACTAGGCGGGACTATGGATTTCATATTTTACAGGTATATTTTTTGTGACAAGACCTTTCTTTGGGTACCAAATTTTGACCTCTTGACCTCCACCTTGCAGTTTGACATACTTTTACACAAAAATTCTAAAATTTTACTTTGGCATAACTTTTGAACGATTAATGCTACCTAAGACTTTCATACTTTACATATGTATTCTTTGTGACAATACCTTCCATTGGATACCAACAAAATTGACCTTTTGACCTTGACCTTGGAGATTCACCTACTTTTGAAAACTTTATCCTTGGCCATAACTTTTGAACGTCTGTGCCATAGGAAAGAAAAGATACAAATTAACAGCTGATCTATGCGACAGCTATGAAAAAATCAATTAACTGATATATTTTCTAGAATTTTCCGAAATCATAAATTTACCAGAATATGATTTAACGAAATTTAATTAGCACTCTTTTGATATGTAAAAAAAATAAGATAAGTGGATTCAAACTCTCTCTCTCTCTCTCTCTCTCTCTCTCTCTCTCTCTCTCTCTCTGTGCGCAAATAAATACATTCATGACGTACGAGAATCTTCAGTCTAAAATAATTAGACTGGCAAAGATATTTTTAATCTGTACTTGTATTTGGTTTATTTATATTGACTGAGCGAATCTAGCTATTAAAAATACCCAATCGCGGATCAACAAAACAAGTTTCCCGGTCTCGTCGTGTGTTCACATTGACAGCGTGTGCTCAGACCGTGAACTGCAAAGAAGGGGTTGAGCTATATTTAAACTCATGAAACGTTTTTCGGAGGTTATTTATCTCGTTTTTTAAGGTAAGATGAGAAAGATTTTACATCATTCTATAAAACTTACATTTATACAATTATTTAGTTTATTTATATTATCAGATTAATGTGCTTATTTGTCCCCATAGGAATTTTTCTTTTCTAGATTTAGAGGTTATAATTATTTAGTGTTGTGGTCATGGTAATATTGATTAATTATAATTCACGAGAGACGTAAAAGAATTAATTATATCAAATCGATTGTGATGACCTTTCTGATGAGTAAGGAAATGACAAGACAAGAATGAGATGGGAAACAAAATGCTTACAGTGTACTTTCGCTTTCATTTTCGCCATAACAGCTGATACACGTGTAGCGAGAGTGTTAAACACAGGACTTTGAGTGTAATGAAATACCAATACTATCCATCTTAAAGTAAATGTTGTTGATATCATGATTTTTTTTTAAATTGCTTTATTTAAAAGTTTGAGAAAAGTGTTTACTTTTCCAACAACAGCATCATAATCATGTTCGGGTAACAAATGTCAATACAATGTTAATTAGTTAACCAGTAACATTGATTTTTTTTTGTTTGATTTAGAAGATGTGATATTTTCTGCCTGCGATTTACTCAGTTTCAAAATAGCAGAGCATAGTTCAATGAATACTTTATAATCATGTTCACACTGTCAAATATAAATTAAAAAAATGGGCCTATATCAAGACCAGTGCCCTTCATTTACTTGAAACTTTGATTATTTATTAATTATAAAAACTTACATGTAATAATAGGTATCTTGAAGAAATTAAATGACCTGTAAATAAAAACAAAACAATTTTAAATAAGGGAATTGTACAAACATAAAAATCTTATTTCTTGGGTGGGTGTGATTCAAACTTCCTTCACAACCAAATTTTATTAATACATTACCAAATTATCACGGTTTTACGATGCAGCATCAAGTTGGGGGAGTTTGGGAGGGGGGGGGGGTCAATGAACATTTTCAAGTTGGAAGAAATGAGGGTAGAGCTAGAAGCTAACAAGGTTTGACTGTATATTCTGTATGCACAATTACTTATACCTTTTTTTGTAAGCAATGAAGGTTGATGATTATGTCTTTTACTTACAGCTTTAAAAATAACCATGAAGTTCCAGTTGGACACATTAATAGAGACTCTGGGAAAGCCTGGGAAATACCAGCTGGGGATATTTTTCCTTCTAGCATGCAACTATTTCCCAGTAGTATTCAACATTGTCATTATGGCTTTCTTTGGTTTTACCCAAAACATTCATGTGTTTTCCAACAAATACAGCATCAGCAATGTCAGAATGAATGACAGTAGTACTGTGAACAGTTCACTGAGGCCAGTACTTGGAGAGTGTGTTAGTACCTACTATGTGGCTGGAGGGGTCAATAAGACTGCCAGTTGTTCTGATGACCCAGACAGCTACTGGGAGTTTCAAACTGGTGAAACGGAAGCCACTATTGTGTCAGAGGTATATTATTTGTTATTATGAAATGCTACTGTACGTGTACCTTCAGGACCATAGAATATTTTCGGGGGGTAGAGGAGGAGGGTGGGGAAGGGGGTAATGGACACGTTTGGGGAGTGGCGTGAATTTTTAGTTAGAGATAAAAAATAGCTACCGTAACAGCCATGGCTCATTTCCCTTTCAGTTTCATCTTGCTCATGATTATTTTACAAATTGATACTTTATATATTTTGTTTTCAAGTGAAGGGATTGCATTATAAACTGAATATTATATTTGTAGATTAAAACTTTTGAATCATGTAGCTTATAATATATTGCACTTTTAAAAACCTAACAGAATACAAGCAGTTATTAATATAAATGGCAATTTTAAATGAAAGTCATATCTTTTGTTTATTTAACATTTTAAGAAACATATTTTATTTATATTTCCAGTGGAGTTTGGTCTGTGAATCTAGATATCTTCCAAACTGGCAGCCACGCTTTATTTTTGCGGTGTGATGGTGGGCGGTTTATTTTCGGTTACGTGGCTGACAAATATGGCCGCAAGCCTGCAATGCTGGTGACTCTTTACTGCCCGATACTGATTGGACTAGGAATCGCATTCTCCAACAATTATTACCTGTTTGTGATTCTGAGATTTTTTATGGGGATGTTTTTGCAGGTGAGATTTCTAGCTTATCTATTGATTTTCTGATTATTTTGTTCTTTTGAACCATTCCTATTATATCTGATTTACTCCATGGATTGCGTCAAATTACTCCTGAATACAGGTATATTGAAAGAAGAGTTAAAAGCACTTAACACTAATTGATTTGATATTGATTTTTGTGTCAGTAAATGACATCAATTATAAGTCTTTTCCCTGTACATAATGTGCATCATAATTGCATAGATTAAAACTTCTTCCAAGTTATTCAAAAAGTTAATATGGTAGCTCTTTTGGGATAACATTGGATCTAAACTCTTGTTCTTCTTTCCAATTTAACTTAATAAGTATATTTGAAAAGATTTAAATGCTGGTCAATAAAAAATAAGAAACAATCTGCATATCAGACATTTCCATGCACATATATGACTTTTCAAAGTCTGACTTGAGTAGGTTCAATGATCTGTGGTACCCAGAGAATAATGTTGAAATTGGTGAAATATATTACTGTAACAACATTAATTGCAAGTTCATTTAAAAAGTAGACTAGGAAATACTAATCTGGATTAAATATTAATAAATCAGGAATAAGAAAGGTACTTTATAAGCCTGATAGTCAATCTAAATTACGAGTATGTAAGATACTTCAATAAGCCTTATAGTAGATCTAAATTAGAAGTGGGTAAGGTACCACTATAAACCTTATAGTGTAAGCACTGGATCTGTCATATCAAGCATTTTATAGCCATAGTTAGTAGTCTAACTTATATGATGCAGTTTAATTTGTAATAATAAATCCATTTATCCATTGCATGTCAATGCCCCTTAAAATGAGTACAGACAGGGGAAAATAAAATATGCAGGATAAAAGAAACTATTTATGTCAAAAAATCATTTGCCATTACTTGAAGGAGAAAATGCTTTCCTATTTTACCATCAAATTGAAAACGTCATGCTTTTAATGAATAATTGTATTATGTACACTGTACTTATTGATAGTGGCCTTTGAATGATTATGAATAGCACTGTGCAGCTGTTTAAATGACCCAGAAGTACTCGTATATAAATATGTTTACCCATTTGTCTAAAAATTATGTACATATCACTAAACCTTTTCGAGACACATTATTTTCAAACTTTCATCATTATTTTTGTATATTTGTGTATAGAATCATTAAGAAAAATCTAAAAAAAAAAAAATTTATTTTTATGCATGCATGTGTGGGTGTGTTTTGAAATATATCAGTGATGAAAGACTAGGTAAATTAAACCAGTGTACTAACACAAAGATATGTAGGATGACTGAGGTTTGTCATGCCATTGAGTGTGACAAAACTCAATTAAAAAAATGTTCTCAATTTCAACAAGCCTTTGTGATTCACAGATTAGAAAAAATCTTACAAAGTGAACAAAGGATGTAGAAATGATCAATTTCCTTATTATTTTTTCCTATTTTCTATTTCCTTGTCCATCTTCCTTGTGACAGGGCCTTCAAACCAGCAGCTATGTGCTTGTGATGGAGATGTTTCTGCCATGTTATCGTGGTGTAGCTGGTGCCATGTTGGAAGTTTTCTGGGGTATCGCAGTGATGCTGGTGGCCCCTATTGCTTACCTAATCCAGAACTGGAGATATATCCAGCTAGCTATTTCCCTACCAAGCATACTAGCCATTGGATACATATGGTGATTATATTAACCAATAACTGCCTCATGTTCAGCCAGTCACATAAAAAAGAAATACAGTATAACATGGTTATAGCAAACATGCTTATAATGAATTAACACTTACAGCAGAATGATTTTTAGTCTCCCTGGTTTTAAAATGCATTACAGTGTAGTTGTAATCTTAAGGGATATAATGAATTACATGATTCATAAGTTTTTGTCCCTGGCACTTCGCTATTAGCATGTTTATTGTTTAGTGATTATTATTAACAGTTTACAGGTATAAAGCATTCATTGTTTATTCATGTATAGATTATTAACACAATGTGAAAATAATCGCTCTAAAATATGAACACAACATTCATAACTAACCAAAGTGTATGTAATATAATATAATTTTAAGGCTGATCCCAGAGTCTTTGAGATGGCTGGTGATCCAGAAGAAGAT